CCCCACCCCCCATTTAGGAAATCCTGGATCCGCCCCTGTAATAGCTAATTCCTTCCATATGTTACAACACACTTAATATTAACACACACATATACACGTCTTGCTGGCGGCGATGTCACTAAATACGTATACATATATACACTGATTTAACGTTCACGAGTATAAAACATATATTGATATTGATATATCTCGATTACATTATCATAACTTAATTGTTTATTCAGGTTACGTTTCACGACCGTAGCCATTTTTACACGAATAAAATGCTCTTTCTATTTTTAGAAATTCCGTGATATAAATAGTTATGGTTTTCCCGTAACTTCAATGGCAGTATAAATAGATTCGTCGTCATTTCCTTCGTGTGGCTTCGGACCAGGAGGTAGGTCTATTGTATGTGACAATACAACATTTGTAACATTTTGTAACCATTTGTCTTTCTGTATTCCTACCAGTACATCTCTAGGTTTTCACTGGTACATTCTCTGATGCATATAACGCCTATGAACGTAATCTTTACTGTAACGAACTTGCTTTCAAATTTTACTGAAGTGCGTGTGATAATATGATTAAACGTACTTGTCAGTATGAACCGTCAATTAAGAAAAAATGATGTTTTAGTACGCTGTAGGTACAATATATCTATTTTAATGTTGACTTTTTAATGTGAACATTCCAATGCTATAAATAGCATCGAAGTATATAGAAAGGAATGTGTATAAGTTACAGGAAGATAATATCGAGGTTACTAGGCTAGTAGTTAGTAATATGGTGGCATATTTCTGCCATCCACTTGCGACTTACGAGTTACGTATGTCGACATAATTATTGAAAGATGTCGACATAATCTGAGAATATGTCGACATAATCTGAGAAGATGTCGACATAACTTTTAAATTATGTCGACATATTATCACATTTGCCGAGATAATTTTGCCGAGATAATTATCTCGTAAGTGGGTAACTCGGCTTTTTATCGTGTTAATGCTCGGGTGTGACATCGACTTACGACTTGCCACTTACGACTTATTTATGTAAAATCCCTCTTTGATTGATAAACTCTGTACATCATAGTAACCTACTGTAATATCCATATCTTTGATTTCCCATATTTACATTGATTTTACCAAGTTACTCACCAGTATAGTCACCACTGTTCAGTCACCATCAGCCCACCTTCGCGGTCCTCGTGCACAAGCCTCGTTTTGGTAAGTCGGCAATAATCTACTAGGATGTCGACATAAATAAGTCGTAAGTGGCAAGTCGTAAGTGGCAAGTCGATGTCACACCCGAGCATTAACACGATAAAAAGCCGAGTTACCCACTTACGAGATAATTATCTCGGCAAAATTATCTCGGCAAATGTGATAATATGTCGACATAATTTAACAGTTATGTCGACATCTTCTCAGATTATGTCGACATATTCTCAGATTATGTCGACATCTTTCAATAATTATGTCGACATACGTAACTCGTAAGTCGCAAGTGGATGGCAGAAATATGCCACCATAAGTTAGAGATCACGAAATGTGTATAACAGTTCAGACAGTTCGATTCATAGAGCAAAAGTTTGAAGGGTTCAGTCCTCTGAAAATATGACATTCTCCCATTGTTTATATATTATTGAACGTTATTTAATCAATTGTAAAATTTATGTTATAAATAATATATTTTTACATAATTATGGAAAATGATAATTAAATGTAGACAGCGAAGATCATTCAACAATGACATGTCGAACATTTTGACACGGACGTCAATTTAATCAACACGCACTGTACGCCAAAAGCACTCAATGAATGATCCCTTAAAAAGATATTTGTTCTGATGAGTTGGTATTTTAATTCATCTTTTTCTTATTTAACTTAACAAAGAATTTATTTATTGTATGCACACAAATAAGTAAATATCAATCTAATTATAACGATATCTTTAATCTGTGTAAATTGAACTAAATATACCATACATTTGGATCTGGAAAATTCAAACAACAGAAAATGACCACCAAGTTCTAGTTTTGATAAATGATCTTAACAAGTCTTGGTTAGCCAATAGGGAAACTCTATCTTCACAGCTCTAACAGTATTGAAGGTACATTCTAAAGAAAAAGAAGCCAGAAATACCAAGGAGACATCTGTTTAAATGTTAGTTTTCAGATGCAAGAGACCAAAACTGTAGATATTGTATATACGATATGGCCATATCGTCCATTCAGTACTCAGCAGTGAATTATACTTGCCAGAAGAATGAAAAAACGTATTTCAAAAAAATTGTAGAATTCAACGAAATGGAAAAGCATTTAAGTAGCTGATAGTTTAATGTGTTTTTAAGGATTTTCATTCTGTTGTTCTTTTAGCGTCAAAATGCAGGAACCGCCAGCAATTTCCAGAGTGTTTTGATAAAGTAAATCTTGTCATTACAAGCGAACAGGAAAATACTACTGAATTGATATCAACGCATTCTTCTCAGTGTTTGCTTGATAATGGTTAATAATTCTGAAAGGTCGAAACAGTGGAGAAACAAACGGAAGAACGATCCAAAATTTCTCGAAAATGAACGAAAGCGTAAACAAGCATCAAGGAAAAATCGAACAGAGGAACAGCGAAAGAGAGATAAAGAACTATGCAAGGCCAGACAAAAGAAATATAGAGAGAAAAAGCGAAAGCCCACAGCTAGTAGTGAGGACATCACTGACGACCAGATATCAGACAGCAGTGACGTGTCAGAGCCGGTATTGGGTGAAGATGGTATGGACACAGATTCAATCAGTTCGATTACGCGATCACAGGATCCAGTTAGTTTATCTTCTGTTTCAAAAGCTGTTGACAATAGATCAAGCAGCAAATGTGGACAGTCATCCGAATTTTGCGATCAAGTGCACAGATCCGAGGATGACAATGTTGTCGTCACTTTGAAAGTTTCTCACACATCAGGCTCTGTTGTGGTGTCTGACCATGATCTTCAACCAAACGAAAATGGTGAGAATAAAAATAACCTTAAACCACTTAACGATGTGGAGGCTACGACCAGGAGTACGAGAAGTCGGCTGCAGCATCCAGACTTTGATTCATCGTATGCTTGCGGAAAATTGACATCAGGCATAGGTGTCGTCCAAACACAAGTTTCGTTTTTCAAAACGGTAGACGGCAACAGCTCTCGATTACCTTCTAGCATACTTGCCTCTTCAAATGGTGTTTTACATGGCGAAGACGAGGACCGACGTTCCGTAAGTGTCGTATCTAATTCGGACTCATCTTCAGATGACATGGAAGGACAGGTGGAAAGTGCATCTGAACAACCGAAAAAGTCTGCATCTGAAACTGGCATGGGCAAAGCTGGAAAGGTGAAAAGGAAACCAGAGCAACCGATCGAGTCAGCGTCTGAAACTAGCTCGTGCATAAGTGGCAACGTGATAGGCATATCTGAACAAGGTAACGGACATGTTTTTGAAGCTGATACGGACATAGTTGGAAACATGGAAGGTAGTGCCGCACAACCGAACGAGTCTGCATCTAACACCTGTACGGGCATTGTTCGCCATGTGGATGACAAAGCCAATCAATTGATCGAGTCTGCGTCTGAACCTGGTACTTGCAAAGCTGGAAACGTGGAAAATATACCAGAACAAGCCAACAAGCCTACGTCTGAACCACCTGTCGAAGCCGATACCGTTATGTGTGTAAATGTTTCAGTACCAACAGAAGAATTAAGCACTGGAAGCCTTGATGAACGACACATGGCACAGAGTAGGGCTAGTACTCATAGGTGAGTGCCATTTTGATAGAAGTTGTAGACACTAAAATATCGTAAATTGAATGTAAAATAACAAGACATGGATTTACTTATTTCAATCAAATATGTGTTAAACTATCTATATGAAAAAAACACTGATTCAAACTATATTGTTGGTGATAAGAGATAAGTTACTGATAGGTGAATGTATGTACAGGGTCCTCCTTAAAAGCGTCTTCAACCGACAACAAGCGTCTTCAAGTGACAACAAGCGTCGCCAGACAAAATCTTTTAAACTACCGAATAAAGTAAGCGACATCAGAAGATATGTTGTTAATATGACTATAATACACCTCTGTACCAAATTTCAATTTGATATTTGATAAAATGACCGAGTTATGATGAATTGAATTTTTACGATCGCGGCGTGGCACATGTGTGTATTCGCATGTAAAGTGAAGAAAGCGTCGCCAGATAATATCGTTACAATTACTCGCTAAAGTAAGCGACATCAGAGGATATGTTATTAGTTAGACTTTTATTGATATATATTCCAAATTTCAGCTCGATATTTGAAAAAATGATCGAGTTATGATTAATTTATTATTACGATCGGCGGTGTGGCACACGTGTGTGAATAGAACTCAACACATGAAGAAGCGTCTTCAGAACATATCTCTAAAATTAATCGATTAAGTAAGCGACATCAGAAGATATGTTATTCATATAACTATGATACACCTTTATACCAAACTGCAGGTAGATATTTGAATAAATTACCGAGTTATCGTGAATTTATTATTTTACTATCGTCGGCTTGGCACACGCGTGTTAATAAAACTGTACAGATCAAGAAGCGTCTTCAGACTTTACCTCTTAAAATAATTGATAAAGTAAGCGACATCATGAGATATGTTATTCTTATGACTATGATACAACTATATACCAAATTTTAATTTGCTTTGTTGAAAAATGATTGAGTTATCGTGAATTTAATTCATACGATGTACAGATATTAAGCTATACGCCGTGCCACATTTGTGTACGTATGGTATACGTAGGGCTTCGCATAGGCAGAGACGTGTATGTGTTATACGTCTCTGACATAGGTGAACACAGTTAGAATATATTGCTATATAAACATTGATACACCTTTAATCAGCTGTGTCAAGAATAACATTATTGTATTTATTGAACAATTTAGCTTTTAACTGTAACCCATTAAGAATACATTTAACAATGTGTTTAATTATATTTATTTTTTATTATGAATTATATAGTGGGAGGGGGATGCGTAATTTTCGAGTTTCTCAGGACTTTTTGAGAAAGATGGTGGCCCTGAAAAGGGCCGTTTAAGCAGGCGACTAGCGCAGTCTTTGACAGAACAACGCTAGTCGAACCTGTCTGGCGAACCGCCAAGTGATAGTGCGGTTCAGGTGAACCCCATCAACAAAGTCTGACCTTTTGAGGCGCCTCACTGAAGCGGTATTACTCGACCCTTGCACGCGACGCGTCCTATAAAAAACGTATCAGTTGGTTCGACAGAATGCCAGGGTTTGGCGATGAAGCGATGAACATTGCTATTGCAGAGTATTTGGGATTGTTTCCTTCAGAACCCTCTATCCACGGCCGTTCTAAACGTACAAAACAAGAGTATCAGCGCGCAACCCTCGCTACAAAGGAGGCAATCCACGATAGGTTAATTAACAAACAGACTTCGAAAGCCATTCTAGACGACATTAAGTCATCGGACGATTCTATGAATGAACCCAGAGACCTTAAGCAAATTCAGAATGCCAAGTATCTTTTGCAGAAGAAAAAACGTCGCTTACTTTATCGATTAATTTTAGAGATATAGTCTGAAGACGCTTTACGATCTGTTGAGTTCTATTCACACACGTGTGCCACACCGCCGATCGTAATAATAAATTAATCATAACTCGGTCATTTTTTCAAATATCGAGCTGAAATTTGGAATGTATATCAATAAAAGTCTAACTAATAACATAACTTCTGATGTCGCTTACTTTAGCGAGTAATTGTAACGATATTATCTGGCGACGCTTTCTTCACTTTACATGCGAATACACACATGTGCCACGCCGCGATCGTAAAAATTCAATTCATCATAACTCGGTCATTTTATCGAATATCGAGCTGAAATTTGGTACAGAGGTGTATTATAGTCATATTAACAACATATCTTCTGATGTCGCTTACTTTATTCGGTATTTTAAAAGATTTTGTCTGGCGACGCTTGTTGTCACTTGAAGACGCTTGTTGTCGGTTGAAGACGCTTTTAAGGAGGACCCCATGTACATTATCCACTTATGTATGCCCATTAATTTTACAGTTCACTAACGGGAAAGAAAACTACTAAATGGATCCAGCAATACGCTGAAGGGGAGAATCATGAAGTTGTAAGTTTTCTTACCAATGACATCACATACCATGTTGACTCTCAAAGAGAGGCTTTCTTTGTGAGATGGCAGAGAGTGCTATCTCAGATTGCTGATTTCGACGAACTCAAGTCTAGAAGTGGGGAAGTATTCAGGGAAATAGAGAAACGATACCCGATTCCAGCGATGCAAACACTGCGCTTGTCTGGACATCAACGTGACGTCACAGCCATAAGTCTTTATCCACAAGACGCTCCACGCGATCATGTTCCAATCCAGATCGTTGGGGATGGCAACTGTCTTCCACGTGTTGGAAGTCTGTTTGCTTTTGGCAATGAAATGTGGCATCTCGAAATCCGAGTTCGAATTTTCATAGAACTTTGTTTGTTTGAAGACACGTATTTAAACGACTCTTACTTGAACAGGGGTCTGGAAACTAATAAGCAAACAAAAAGTACCGCAACACTTATTGCACAATACTCAGACGTATTTACCAAAGATGTTCAAGATAAAGATCGTGACAAATACGTATACAGAGTAAATGCCAAAAACGTTCTTCACCCTGGTTCTTACAACGGGATGTGGAGTGTGTTTGCGTTAGCTAGTGTGATTGGGGTCGGGGTAAGGTCCATCTACCCGGACTACGGTGGTTACAACGTTCGAGAGGATCACAATCGTATGGTGATACCCAGAGTGTCTCGGAATAACGATACTGTGATTCACATAATGTGGACCAACACATTAGGAAAGCAACCTCTGGCAACTGCTTGGACGCCAAACCATTTTGTTGCGGTTGTTCACAAAAGCATAATTGATGATACCCTTTTAGGAGCAAATGGTGGTACCTCAGAGGAGAGGAAATTGGAACAGTTGATGGGTTTTATCAGGACTGGAGCATACGACACAGAAAGGTATGGTTTAGCGTCAATGATACTGGCGTGAAATGCTTGTTTTGAACATATATGAATATTTGGCACATATGCAGCTTTTCATGGTTATAATGCTTGTGATATCCAACAAATATGTCCGTAATTCACTTTATACTCTTGTTGTATAAACTAACCTAGAACTATACTAGAAGTCATTGGTTCAAGTCTTAACCCACCTTTAAGCACATTTTCATGTATGTTGCAAATGGTATTAAATTTACGTGTGTAGAAATTGAAAATTGTCATCTCCGTGCGGAAAACGTAACAAATTGTTTTTAAAGAATTAATAACAATGAATAATATCGATTTGAGTACCTGATGTCACGACTTAATAAATTGAGCTGTCAACAATTGATATCGGTCCCTATGGTGTTCAGTTCAGACTGGTTTACGTATTTTATTTTAAATTAAATTTCTTGTGACTCGAATTTTGGCAAATTTTCAATAATAATTCCGGACAATGCAAATTAATCTACCAAACCATGGAGATTGACAAAAAAATGAAAAATTTCCGTACAATGTCAACAACTACATGTATTAAGTTTTAGAATAAGTGAAAGACAGTTTAGGAGTTACAAACAGGGAAAAGTTCCAGTGGCCTTACCTGATAGGAGAATAAATCGACGTAAAGATATGTCTTGATTCGATGAAAGTGATAAAATGAGGTAAAAGGTTTTAACAAAACCATAAGTCGAACCCAAAATCGATAAAAAAAACTAGAGCAATTGAAAATATGAACAAAAGAAAGATTTACATGGATCGAGAGCCTTGAAAAGGTACCAGAATAATAAGACCATGTGTTCCGTAAGGGTAAGCGTCTTCTTCTTCATCGGTGATATCCACCATGTTAATCTTAGCTGAATCACAAAGTAATGTCGCGTCATCACATTGGAAACTCGGGAAGTGGCAGAAAAACACCAAGGCATTCTTAAGAACATACATGTATTTACAGTTGCTATTCACCCTTCCATTGAAATGCAATGAGAAGGCAAATGTTGTTGTGAGACTATAAAAACATTTGCTGTTGTAACGTCATCAAAATCTATTGTGACGTCATCAATTTCATTGTTGTCAAAACTCAAAGAACTGTCCGAAATAACTAAATAACACGTAACTACTGAAATAATGAATATTTTAGCAATATTGTTATGGTCCTATAACACATTTCATTTACTAAAACATTCATTGCTTCAGTAATATAAAGAATATCACACAGATAAATAGCATGTTTTTCGTTGAGATGTCTTCATCAACCTACATCTTTGGGAAACGTATGTTGAAAGTCTGTCGGTCAGCAAGTTATTTTTAAACCTAGTGAATGTTTCTGAAATATTCATTGAGTAATCACATAAACAGGAAACAACGTTAACTGAAACGACGGACGCGAGACAAGTTTTATTCTTAAAGCACCGTCAAACATTTATTTAAGATCATTTATATACTGTACACATTTCCTCTGCTTTTATTGTTCCTTTCGCAATCCAACTGTACATTTGTGTTATACACTTCAAGCTTTTACCTAAGGCGTTATTAAGTGTTACTCAGTCATGTTACTAAATCATAGTGTGTCAGTATTTTAGTAGCGCAAAATTATCGCAAAATACCAACATGACGACATAGTTCACTTTTCGAACGCATCGTTTTGACCATAATTGCAAAATAAAATGTAAAACCAGTATGGCAGTATGTTCGTAATTATGTTATTCTCGATCGTGTTCGTTGTTTTTATTGCAGGCTGGGGTTGGCGCGGACACTAACGCCACAGACCATTGCCAGATTCACGATTAGAGAAAACAATATAGTTACACCTAGCCGCATCAGCTATCCGACACAACGTCCACTTATCGGAGGTCCTACCACAGAGTATGTCATTTAAACAAGCTAAATCCTCCATCTTACCATACAGTTTTGTACTGTTATAAGTTAAACATATTTTTACCATTCTTACTTGTTTCTTCTTTTATTTTCGCAAGCTGCTACTGCTTTTATTTTAGCTTTTTTTACGTAAACAAAAAACGTATTAAAAAGAGTAGAAACTGGTATTAAAAACTTTGAACTGTCTTCGTTCAGGTGTCTATTTATCAATAATGGACTATGTTTAGGTGAATATGTCGTAATATGGACCTGGCAAAGTGATATAAGCCAAACTATTAATGGCTATTGATCCTTTGCAATTTCTTATGTCCATGTATCCACATATGCACCGACATAAATGTCCTTTATTGTTATATAAGTTGCTATACGATGTATAGATCATTAAAAAATGGAACGTGTGAAAATTAGCATGAGGAATGCATTGTATTTGGCAGAGAGCGGTGTGACGTTACCATTGAAATGACGTCATAACGTGAATATTAACGTGCTGTTTCTAAAAATAGTAACACTGAGTCAAGGTCACAAATCACCAACCTCCACGTGATTATGATGCAACCAATCAGGGTGTAGAAATATGTGTTTCATCTAATGTTAATTAGTATCGATAACAAGAGGAATTCTGTAGGTGTTTACAAGCTTTTTGCTAATGAAGATATTGTTTGATATAAACAAACTCAAATTTTCTCGTCAACCGTCGAAAAGAAATAACTATCCAATAATGACTCATCTGTTGAATACGATACTGTATTTTTACATGTAGCACTGAGTTTGTTTTTGTTTCTTTTCTTAGAAACAAAGACACGTGCCTCTCCCATCCCTCCGAGAAACCGGTGTACTTGTGTAATACATGCAAAGGCCGTCCCATATGTTACAAGTGCCCGCTTGAAAGACACAAAAATCACGAGTACGAAGATCTAGAACAACATCTTAAAAAGAAAGAGAATGAGTACCTCAAGAAGGCGTTACAAAAACGCAACTCGGTGTTACATACAGAGTTGAAAAGACAAAAAGATGTCAATGAAAGATGCAAAGAAAACATAGCTCGCGAGATTGATGAACGCGTCACTGTAATTACTCAACAGTTACAAATATGGAGACAGCAATGTCGTCAAAAGCTCCAAGATGATGCTCAGGCCATCCACAACAACATCGAGCTATCCACAGTACGAGTGTCGGCAACGATTCCTACTTATTTAAGAAACGTACAACAACAAGTACGACAATTAAACATGGCAGAACGACTTGCACGAATGTCAGAGGAACCTCCACCAGACGTAGCAGTCAACACAAATCCGTGCACAAGTATCCAGTTTACTCCTGGAAACGATGACCAATTGATACAGCAGTTTGGAAGCCTTTCCTGTCATCTTCCTGACCCCATTGACACCAGTGCGGGAGATAGAACGACGAACAACGTCTTGGAGGGTGACAATACGTTCAGTGATGTATGTAATTCACTTCCATTCCATCCGCTCGTGCAAAGCGTTCAACCATGTGTCCTAATGAACACATCGGATCGCACAGCCACAAAGACCCTAGACATAGAAGACATGAGTGACGAAATAACCACTTCTCGTGCTTTACCTTCATGTTCAACGTCAATCGTAGCAGGTAATATAAACCTTAAACAGTGTATAGACGCAGGGATTGGCAGTTTCCAAAACAAACCGACCCCAAGTAAGCGCCTACGTGTAATGCAAAACGTAGTTATTAACACTGAGCAGAAACAAAAACTAGGAAGACGGTTAGAAACATCCCCCAATGAGTCTGTAATTAATAAATGTCCCCGTCCATGTACAGTTCCAATTGTTTCTGCCACGAAAGACGAAGAGAAGAAAAAGGACAAACAATGTACTAATATGTCATCAAGCATTCTCAATACACGTGCAGGACCAACAATTATTGATAATACAGCAATTGTACAGCAATTGGACAGACCAAATATGGTAGTATCTCCAAACTTAACTGGACATCAAATAGATGTGAACCCGCGTCTGACCTGCATACAATCGTCAGGAATTGGTTCGCCAGTTAGACCGATGTCAATCAAGTCATGCAGCGAGACACAAGTTTCAGTCGGTCAAATGATTATCAGCTCGCCAGCTCCAACAGGAAGTTCCGGTATCCAATCTTCAGATGAGCACAGTACGCGTGTAGAAATAAACCAGGTACCGAGAACGACACAGACGCTTGGTGGAGAAGTAACCATACCCGATAATGTTATAACATCACAACCCCGGACTACAGATAAAGTTATAACCGCGACATGTCTAGCGAGAGCACAACCTTGTGGCATTTTGGATTCGAGAGCGTCTAGTTATTCTTTTATAAGAGAACAAAAGAAGAAGTCAATACGTCCTTCTAGAACGACCGCAACGACACAACAGACAAGCAATGAACTTTCAGCGGGAGGTAGACTAATAGCAACTGGATCACGGAACAGCAGAAAGAAAACAGACCAAATAAGTGCCCGGCAACCGAGAGAATATACCCGTATGGAATTCACTAGTGCGACAGGATTGAAGATGGTGATAAGGAGCGCCAACACTGCAAAATATTTTGAATCGTCGCCAAGGGCTAAGACAGCAGTCAATGGGGCATGCGCAATCAACACCACAATCGTAGCGGGAACAACACCAACTGTCAACACAAATGTTGAAAAGACGATCAAAAAAACAAATGAAGTGGTAATGATACAAAAGCCGGACTGGAAAGACGATATGGCGAGTACCATTAACACAACAAATACAGTTGTAGTGACATCGCCGGTAAACGTCGTAAGTGAAATCAAAACCACAACTACAGTAGGAACTGCAACACTGACGAATGTAAACTTCACTGTAGCAACCAACTCTAACAGCGCAATGGAAACGACTGCAAGCAGACCGAAAACAAACATGAACGTGAGTGGAGCAACCAAAAACACGTGTGCAGAAAAAATGACAATTGTTAAGGCTAATCAGGTTGTCAAAGCTGCAAACGTAGCGGGAACAACCCGAACTGAACATGTAGCGGGGACATCACCAAAGACCAGTGTATACATCGAAGGTCCAAGACAAATCAACGATACAGTGCAAACGACACCAAGTGTCAACCACAATGACTCTAAAATAATCAAAACCGTATCTGCAGCGAGACCGAGCCCAGTGGCAAACAAAAACGACAATGGTACGACCAAAGTCACAAACGCAGTGGAAACGGCACCAAAGATGGCAAATAAAAACACCTCTGGAGCAATCAAAGCTGTAAGTGTAGCAACGACTTCACCAATAGCCAAGATCAACGTCAATGGCTCTATGAAAATCACAAACGGAGAGGAAACCATTCCAAAACCGAACATAAACTTCACAGGGGCAACCGACACATTGAATGGAGCGAAAACGACATCACTGGCCAACACAATTGTGGATTGCTCAACCAAAATCACACACCCAGGGGAAACAACACTGGTCGTCAATAAAAACGCAGCTGGAACACTCAAAGCCGTAAATGTAGCAAGATCAACATCAATGTCCAACATAAACGTCGATGGTACAACCAAAATTACAAACGCAGTGGGAACGACACGAAAGCCTTACATGAAATTCACTGGGTCAACTCAAACGACAAAGGTAGTGGAACCGACATCATTGGCGAACACAAACGTCGATAATGCAACCAAGATCGCCCGCTCAGCGGAAACGACACCAATGAGGAACAGAAACGTAAATAAAACGAGCATTACACCAATGTCCAACATAAACGTCAATGGTAAAACCAAAATCACACAGACACTGGGAACGGCACCAATGGTCGATAAAAGTGACACTGGAACGATCAAGTCCGTAAACATACCGAGATCAACACCAATGCCCAACAGAAATAGGTCAACCAAAATCAGAAACGCAGAGGGAACCACACCAGAATCGTACATAAACTTCACGGGAGCAGCCACAACGACAAAGGTAGCGAACAAAAAAGTCGATTGCTCAACCGAAATAACAATCGCAGAGGGAACAATACCAAAACCTTACATAAACATCACTGGGGAAACCAAAACAGCAAATGAAGCCGATCTGTCGTCGGCGGCCATAATCAACGTCATTACAACCACAAAAAATGTTAATGTAGCGAAACCAACACATAGGTTCAATATAACTACTACTGGGCCAAACAGTGGCAACCATTCGAAGAGAAAGATGTCGACACTACAGATGATGCCGCTGTTGTAAGTGAACAAGAGGCCCAGAGGGCCTGTATCGCCCACCTTGATATCTAAGCAATCATGGCAAAATATTCTCCAAATGAGATCCAAGGGAATATGCCAGACCTCAAGGCCAATCCTTGTAGCATATCTGTATTTGATTTTTTATGCCCAGCAATTTTATGTATGGTTATGGGGTGGGGATCTCAACTGTTTCCAAGCTGTGACTCAGAAACTAGGTCCCTAGGGTTGTGGCCAGACCCCAGGATAAATTCTAATATCATGACTGCATTTGTCTCTTTTTGCCCAGCATTTGTATATATAGTTTTGGGGTGGGGATCTCAACCGTTTCAAAGTTATGACCCAGGGGTTATGTCTGCAAGGGTGGGGCAGACCCT